TTACCCCTGAGTCGGTTTAGGGCAGCAAGAAATTCGGTGAGTTTGATATCGTTTTCCAAGGATGAAGGGTGTAATTTTTTAGGGGTATTTAGATTTTCGCTTTTGCGGTGCAAAACGTAGGAGAAAAGTTTGAGTCTGATGATTCTTCAGACCAATGTTTTCCGAAATGCTCAGCTATTGTGGGGATGTTGGTCTCTGATGTACCATTTACTTGTAAGCAGTGAATACTTTTGAGGGGTTGGAGACCGCAATAGCTCCGTATATTTTGCCATACTTTGCTCAATGGAGTTCTGGGACCTATTGTAGATATAAACTCGAACGTACTTAGTCTTTTTGACAGTCTGAGCTGGCGGCGGAGTTTCGCATTGGCTGTTTTGTAGTTGACCATGTTTTCAGTGGTGATATTGCGTTTAAATGTGTGCCGACATCTAAGTTTGATTGTGCGGAGGGTATCCAACTCTTTATTCCACCATGGGCCATTATATTTGTTTGTGAATGGTTGAGTGAGAGGGATGGATTTATGTGCGCTTTGGAGAATTATTTTGTTCAGATTAGCGGCTTCTTTATTTATGTTATTACTGTTAGGAATGTTGGTGTTGTAGAACTCGCAGTACTCTTCAATTGCTTGCCAGTTTACCTCCTTAATTTTAAATTTGTGTTTAGTTTTAGTTTTGGGTGCTGGATTAGATTTAAATAATGATATCAAAATTGGGTAGTGATCACTGCCGTACAAGTCGGCTTCGATGGACCATGATGCATTTAGATGTATGGACGGGGAGCTAAAGGCGAGGTCGATGTGAGTGAACGTGTGGTGGGTGGTATAGTGTGTTGGTGAGCCGTTGTTGAGTAGGATGTAGTTGTTTTGCTGAATGAGTTTTTGAAGTGTATTGCCTCTAGCGATGTTTTTTGGGGACCCCCAGCTGTTATGCCAGCTGTTGAAGTCACCAACAATGAGGGATGGGGAGCTATAATGGGTAAGGACGGAATGAAGGTTCTGGTAGGAAAATTTTTGGTTGGGGGGGATGTATGCGTTTATAATGTTAAACTTAATGTTAGAGTATATGACTGCGCCGATTGCTGCAAAATCATTGGAGAGTGGTATTTGATTGAACTGTATTGCTTTGTGTATTAGAGGAGTTGGAGAAATTTGTGGAGAGTAGAATATAGTTGTTTGGAATGGGAATATTAGTGCTGGTGGATAGGTGGGTTTCCTGGATAGCTATGATAGTTGGATTGTATCTCTTAATATGTAGGAGGAGTTCACAACTGTTGAAAAACCCTTTCATGTTCCATTGGATGATTGAGATTGTCATCAGTAGTTGGAGAAATTTTGAGGGTCACAGTACATTTGGAGGAAATCTTCGTCTTATGCATGAGCATTATCGAGTGGTTCTGTCTTTTTTGTTCTGTTTTTAGTTATGGATTTTAGTTGAGATTTTTGTCTGTTTGAAATGTTTTTAGGATATATAAGCGTTTTGCTGCCCGTGGGGTTTTCGCCTGGGCGTTCTATGGCTGAAGCGCTCTCGCAAGCGGTGCCGACCTGTGTATCTTCATCATGCATTATGTCGCCAGGCGTAATGTCGTCGTAGGTGGTGATTCTTCTCGGTGCTATTGGTACCAAAGGATTGTCCTCATTTGCGGAATTGTTTTGGCTGGTGCTAAAGTTGCTTCGTTGGAGTTTTAAGACATTTGAGTAAGGTGTTGGGTTGTGTTGATGTCTAGAGTGGTATATAGTAAGAGCAGATTTATAGTCCGTTTTTCGTAATATTTTTATTGTTTGAATTTCTTTTTGTTTGATGAATATCGGACATTTTTTGTCGAAAGAGTTGTGATCAAGGGGAAAGAGGTTGTTATCGATACAGTTGATGAATTTTTTCATGTCAGAGCATAGTTTATCGGGGTCCAAATGGTAGTTTCTGGCACAGTTTCCGCATAGCTGTGGGTTTTTACAAACTTTTAATGGGTGTCCGAAACGCTGGCAGTTTTTACATTTGAGTGGAAGGGGGATATACGGCCTTATTTTGGTTCTTTCGTATCCAATAAACAAATACTCAGGCAGGTGGAGTGATTCAAAGGATAAAACTATTAAACCTGTTTCTTTTAGTTCATTGTTTTCTTTTTTTTAAGATTTTTTTAACCTCACGCAGTTTTTGGTCTTTTAGTTCTTCGCGAATTGTGTCTTCACTTATATTACGCAGATCATTTGAGTATATAACCCCTTTGGTGAAATTTAGGGAATTGTGAAGTGTAACTGAAACTGGGGCAGAGTTTGATGGGCTAATGGGCATTGATGTCAGCTTTAACAACTTGTTTGTTTGGTGCACGTTTCTTGTTTTAATTAAGAGGGTGCCGTCGCGTTGTTTAATAGCTTTAGTAACTTCACTACTGCAAGTATAGTCAATGGCTTTTTTAATGATAAAGGGCGATACACTTGTGAATGGTTGATTATCTAGTCTGTTAACGATTAAGAATTTCCCATTGTCTATATCAGGAGGATGTTTACCCCAAATATCGGGAGAGTCTGGCATTTTGATTTTTGATACACTTGTGAATGGTTGATTATCTAGTCTGTTAACGATTAAGAATTTCCCATTGTCTATATCAGGAGGATGTTTACCCCAAATATCGAGAGAGTCTGGCATTTTGAACAGAATTTGGTCGCAAAATTGTATATTTTGTTGGTTTTTTAACACTAGCACGTGTAGTTTTCTTTGTTATTTATATTTGTTTACAAGTTTTTAACTAGCACGATGCGCTGTTTGTTCTTGTAAGCACAAAACTGGGTTTCGCGTTAGGCGGGTGTATAAGCGAGTAAGCGAACGATAAGGCAAAGAGAACAGTAGTGCGATTCACTAACTTTTAACAATGCGACTTGTCGAGATGTCAGCTAACAATTTTTGTTGTTTGCAGTAACGATTGTGCGATTCATTAACTGTGCTGCCGCTAATGGCCACAAATCCGTTGCATATGCCTAACCATTTTATATGGAAGAAAAAGTGCAACACCCTCCACAAAAAAATTCTAAAAAATCAACGGTAACTTTTAGCGACTTGACACTTGCACTTTATCAAACTAAAAAAGAACGGGCTACAAAACTGCATACCCGTAAATCTTATAAAGATCCTGAATAAAAAGTTCGAAATATTTATAAAATTAAAAAAACATACTTATAACCTTTTAACTTCCAGTTTCCTATATTGCTTTACGCCCTATTGGAAAATTATAACCGGAATCCATATAGACAAGTTTTAACGAACTATTTTTCGTGCTATTTACTTTATTTTTCTTGTTTTTAATAGTGTATTCTGTGTGTGTGTATTATTTAAACAAAATTCAACAAACTTTCGTAAAACTTCAAGTTTTTAATAAGAATAATAACAGAATTATGTATGCAGTCTTGTAGTCCATTAAATTTTAATACAATAAAGTGCAAATTTGATGCTGAAAATCCTTTGATTTTTGATTTTTTTTGCTAGCGGTGCATTTGTACGAAAAAATTGTAGAACGTACCTTTTACGTTTTATTAACAACACCAATCTAGACGTCGTCAAATTAGCGGCCTTTGTTATCGTTAACGACAACAGGTGATTTGGCGCTAACGAATGTTGTTAGGGAAACGTTTACCGAATAGCTAAATTGTTAAAATTGTCGTTTAGCTGACTTAACCATAACTAGAGGTGTTAAAATCTCGTAGTGAATCGCACAACAGAGCGTAAACGTCTGGTTTGATCAAGAGTTCGACGAGAACTGACGCACTTGTTTCCTATCTTTTGTTGTATTAAAGATAAAAGCAGTTTTAAGTGATCTTTAACGTTACATTTTTTGGGAGTGAGTTATGTGATAATGTCACACGTATGGTTAACTTGGCGAATCCTGCAAAGGTAAAAATTAAACCAAAGTATTTTAATAAAGATCAAGGTTCAAAGAAACTATAAAAATATTAACTTTTGGAAAAAATATTTTTTTTGGCAGATCTAAAAATCAAAATATGTGGTATTTAACGTTATCTTGTGATTTTATTGGGAGTATGGTAAATATAGAGAAATAAAACAAGTGGAAATTGTTTAAAATGTGACAACTCAAATATTTATTCATATACATACTTATTCAGTAGATAATACCTATCTCAATATTTGCCCAATAACACTGCAACAGCCGAAATTAGCATTGATTGAAAGTACTTTTTTTCTATACGCTAAATCCGAATTTGGCAACAAAAGTATTCCATCACGTCAGAATTTTGAGAGAATGGCGATCGAAACCCCAAAAATTACCATTTAAGGCATTTTTGAAAACTTGCTGAAGAGTTTTGAAAGAGAAACTAATTATATCTTTCGATAGATGTGCCAAAAATTACTATTTTTTCGTCCTGGGCTTGACTTTGATGGGATAAAGCAATGTTTCGAACATGATGCGCATTTTTAAATACACCTGAAGTGTGTCACTTCTTCGATCATGATTTGTGATTGTGTACGATGCCATCTACCCAGCCTTTATCATGCGACGCCACAGTGCTGTGGCTCCATATAAAATGTGGGCAAAAATGCAATTATGAACAGATTTAAATGAAAACTTCTTTTCTAGTGAATTTGAGGGCGCTGAATTCAAAAAAGCAACTTGTTTTTGATACCTTTCGCACTTTCCCAGTAAATGCAGTTTAAGTGTAAATTTTGGATTCTTGTTGCATTTACGTAGGTATGTACATATACTTCATTCCATTTTCAAACGTGAGGTGTCGGTTTACATGGATTGGTCTGTAGATATGCAGTAAAGTTTTATTTTTTTTAAACGGTTGTCACCTGTTAAAAAAGTTGAATTAAAATTATTTAATAAGTTAAATGAATTAGATATTACAGTATGGGTATCAATCGACGTGGTTTTGAAAATACTTTACTTTTAAGCTACACGTATAAGGGTTGCCACCTCTTTAACCCTAGACGTACATACATTCTTCGTCAATTAGACGAGCCGACAACGTGTGTGGTTTACAAATACAAAGATAAGAATGTACTTCCATGGATAAACAATTAAATTAAATTTAATTTAAGGTTTTGGGTAACTGAAATATGTATAATAACATGGGTGTCAGACCAAAGAACAAATTTAAAATATTTAGCAAAAAATAAGTGAAGAATAAACAAATTCCTGAAACCTTAAAGTTAATTTGAGGGTCCAGTGATATGAAAGGAGCATGAAAACATATCACTCATTGGTAATGTATTATATTGCAGTATATAAAAAAAAAAATACGATGTTGCAACCCTTTCATTGTATACATATATTAATATATATATTTAATTAAATTAATAATTATAAACTAATTAATATGTATTAATCATTATAAATATATTAATATTTCATATCTACAAATTTTGTATAATTTAATTAAATTCCATTTGAAAACAGTTGGCGACGCTCTTCAAAATATTTGCAAGCTATGACCTTAAACCTCTTTTGTCGGACTGCCATATATATATGGTGATACATATTTCAGTCACCTAATTCCCTAAATTTAAATAGAATTTGATTTTTTTAAACAGATAGCAACCCTCCTACATGTAGGTAAGATATCAACCGTTTCCAAACCCTTTTCGATTGATACCCATCTTTTAATAATTTATTTAACTTATTAAATAATTTGAACTAAATTTTTTAACAGGAGGCAAATTGCTATAGCTGCTACTTATAGATTTAGTTGCATCACTAGATTGTGTTTCATTCCATTTTTTCTCTCTCTACATTTTTTCACTCGTTCACGTGTTGCTTCAGGACGTTTTGCAATGACCATGATTCAATAATTCAAGGTTCGATAAACTGACAGTTGTCTCTCTCGCACCGCTCCCTTAACAGTGGCACCGTGTTGCTTCTTCGCAAATTTTCTTGGAAAAAGTGTAGCTTTGATGTGAAATAGAAGTATAAGCTTTTGTGCAATATGTTTATTTGTATATGCACATGAAGCAGATTTAACTCATGAAAACATAAAATGTTTTTAAATTGGATGTTTACATAACTCTCATAGTAGTTTTATTTTAAGTCCTTTTGCCATTTTTATGCAGCTAAAAAGTACATTAATTACGTAATTCACGTAGATGTATTAAAATTTATATTAATACTAGAGGGCCAGTTACTGTCAAAATTTGACAGTTTTTCTAGTTTTTAGGAGGCTTGGAGAGGGTTTCTAACTTAACACGTACCAAAACTTATACGGTACAAATTAACCTACCGGAACATCTTCTGCGTTGGAACTAAAACGAAACTAAAATTTTTGTTATCTTAGAAGGTCTTTGGACTTCAGCAGGACTTAGAATTGACCCGATACCTTTCACGTTATCGGTAAATATTAATGATTTGATACATATCGATAGTTCGATGAATTTTAAAAACACTAAAATCCGGTAACTCAACAAAATTCGTTAACTCGACCAATTTCAATAACTGTCAAATTCGATGGCTCGATAAATTTCGATAACTCAAAAATGTAAAAACTTTGGATGCCTTTATAAATTTTTACTTTTGACATCTCCACATTTTTCGAAAACTATCTAAACATTTTGATAACTCGTTACACTCTGTTAAGGCGATTAAATTCGATAAGCAGTGATATGTCGATAAGCTTATATAACCTTGAAATATCGATAAATCGATATATTTTGAAAATTCCATAAACTTCGATTCGTTGAACCAACCAATTTCAGTAGATCAATAATTATCGATAACT